TTAGTTCATGATGAAAACCAACTTCACCACAGAGTCCTGTTTGTTCTCTGATTCCTGCTCTCATGTCATAATATTGCTCGGATATAAAGTGTGGATTGTATAAATAGTTATCCTGGGAGTTGTCTTTGGGACATGATAAATAAGATCTTCAATGTAGAATTTCTTTTTTTATTTCATTAAAATGGATATACGGCCAGAAAAAAAAAATCTACAATGATATAATATATGTGCAATAGATACATACAACATATAAAATACAGTCAATACTAAAAGTTACCYAATTATTGTATCATGCATCATATAATATAAACACAAAATATGTTTACAGTAAATACTACGTGTAGTGTAAGATTTATTTTAGGTCAATATATTCCATTTCATCATATAGTGTATTTCATCTTGTTAATGACATTTACTAGACAAACAATGTAGTAGAAAATAATTCCTATGTGGTATGATACAAATATAATATATGATATAAAGGAGTAATATATAACAAAATATTATAGCATAGATATTATATATGACATAATACAGTGTTCTGTTGTGGGAAGCTATTTCCTAAGTTACATTTATCCCATATAAAATACTAGTATTGTGTTAGTGTATATGTAGTTACATATATGTTGAATAATAAATATTATATAGTTAATATTTTATCTATAATATGCAGTCTAAACCACAGTATTTGTAGCAGATTGCTGGTATTTATTATCTCCATGATTGATGGTATCTGGATGGTTTAGTTTATGTAATACAAAATACTTTGTGTGCAAATACTGACTTTATGGTACAGCTTTTAACTGTGTTTAGTTTGATCTGACACGTTTTCAGTAGTACATGTACAGTATATAATATTATACACTCTATAGTCTGAAATATATTAACTACCCATCATCTGCTATGTATAGTGCATAGTAAATAGAGAATATAWTCTGCATAAAAATTGTGTTGACTGGGGGAAAGTGTCTCCTCAGCWCCTGGCCTCTCATTTCCCTTTTCTGCAGAAAAAAATGAACACACTCTGCTCTGGTGTGGAGGTGCTTTGAGTCACCAGGCAGAGAACGGATTTTAAATTTCATGATTACTATTTGTGTGCTTCTGGATTTGTGAGTCTCTGCTTCTTGTGTTAAATGTCTTGTGATTTGATCTCTGCTTCTCTGTTTCTGCTTTTATTTAAAAAATAATTTCCTGGCTTGCTAAGAATTGTTGGGATGCAGTTAAAACTATATTATAATCTTAAAACTTAGGCTTACATTTCCCATCCAGAAGGACACTTTTACCAAGCAGGTGTTTTGAAACTGGTGTGAAGTAAGTAGGATTTGGAAGTACAGGGCACAGGTCAAAGAGGCTCCCTGGCCTCTGCAACAGCCATTGGCAGCACTGCTATCCAGACTTGCACTGGAAATTATTTATAAAAAATTGTTCCATTTCTTCAATAACCGGGAAGATCTTGGTTATTTTTAATAGGTCAGGTATGTCGAGTGGCAAATGCTAATCCCATTTTCCAACATCATCTTAGTGCATGGATTTATGTTCTTCTACCAGGGAGCGGATGATGCTCAACACGGTTAAACTAGAAGAAAATTTTACCTGTGTAATGCAAATAAAAGTACCCCTCAAAGCCCTCAGCTGCCACCAGATGGAGCAGCCTCCCCAGATACCTCCTCTACTGGCTCTGTTTTCAACAGGAATCTTTTTGTTTATATTTTTTTTTTTCCTGAGGGAATTCATTATGATAAATATTTTATCAGTGAATTCTGAAACAATTAATAGTGATTTGACATTTACTTTAAGGAGTTAATGATAATTCTAGTAAAATGAGAAATTAGGGTATTTAAATGTCTTTGGACACTTTCACTTCACTTAAAAAAAAAACAAACAAAAAACAAACAAACAAAAACAAAAACAAAAAAAACCAAAAAAAAACCCCAAAAAACAAAACAAAGAAAGCCCAACCCCAAGATTAATTAAAATCCCAAAACACACTTTTCACTTAACAAATAGACCAAGGTCATAATGACCCCTTCAGAAGCTGCTAAGGGGTCTAAGGAGAAGAATCAAAGCCAATTTAAACATGTACACAACCCTCGAGGAGATTCACATGGAAATCCTGAAAAGCAACACAGTTTCTCTTGGACACTCTCTCTGAGAAGCTGATTAGGGAAATTGGTAATTGGGYCTCTGTTTCTGCACAAGTAGATTGACATCCAGAGTAATCAGCCCCACAAAAGACTTTCCCAGGCACAGATACACCACTTTAACACCTTCCCTTTCAGAGCTTCTTTAGAAATCTGTCAAGAAGACTCTCCTAATAYGCTKCATTTGGAAAAACACCCATCTCTGYGAGGATCTGTGYAACTTCAAACACRTGCCCTTCTTCACACTCCAGAGGCATGGAGATTTTCCTCTTGATGTTGTGCTCSCCAAGACGGGTGGGATGGACAGTACTTTCTCCTAGCTAAGAAGAAAATGTATTTTTTCTCCCTTTAAACATAAATATCATTGCAGCAAAAACAGGCTACAGTGTGGGTAAAGTAGGTGCCTCCCCTGCTGTAGAGTTCTGGAGATAAAGTGAAAACAGAGCTGAAGCCAGTGAGAAGMACAGCTGTTGCTGGTGTTTCTCTCTTTCAGGTTAGCTCACACCACAYATACATTTGAGGTCTGCATCCAGCAAAAAGGCAGACATTCTCCACTGCCATGCATCTCCTGTACCTTGTCCTCATCCATTTGGCAAGGAAAGGTGAAATTTCAGAGAAGGAAGCTTTTTTATTGGARAGTGTTGAACCCACACAGCCAGCCCCCTCACTTCAGTTATTGATGATTAAAGCCTTGGCTGAGAAGAAAGAGTAAGGTCGGGTCAGTGCACACATTTTCACCCATGCTGGTGTCATGGGATGAAAAAAAGCCACATTTGCAATTTTGGAAGTATCCTCTCCCTATCCATTTTTAAAACAAGTGATGGTAGAAAGGACAGACAACATAAAACATACACAATTCTCTATAACATCTGTGGATTGCATATATATGGAGTATTCTTTGACAGATAATGGATGCTGGGATTTAGCACAACATGACAGGTTTTGTAACATCTCTTGTGCAGCAAAGAGATCAACCAAGACACCTTTTCATCTCTGAGCTGCAAAATCTTCTARAAATCATCCCTGCCTGGAGGCATCTGGTTCTAACAAGAATCTGCCAAATGACAAATTTTGATGAGGATCTGGCTACACATACTGCTGATGGCACATCCAAACCAAAATGTCCTTCACGGATAACCAAAATGACTCTGTGCCATCAGCATGGTGAGTGAGGAGTGAATAAACACAGGAGTGGCATTGCCTCATCTTCAGGACAAGCTTTATTAACGATTTACTTTAACAAGATAGTATGAAGGCATCGGTTCTTTAAGTTACAAGGAAATTAACGAGACTCAGACAAGTTTAGCATGTAAATGACAAATTAACAAAAAAGGCGTATGTTAACCCATATAACCGCTAGACTATCTATTAGAAGACATTTTGCAAGCAACATTCTACATTTCTTTGCATTGAAGTAAAAACATATTTTTTGGTCAAGAAAATTACCTTTTTTTTTTAATTTTTACACTTCTTTAAAACTTATATCACAAATGTCAGGGTAAGGCAAATCCTGGATGAATAATATGGTAAAAATCCCTATTCCCCGAGAAAATAGATCCACATACTCTGTTAAATTTTGTAATTTTAAAAGCAAAGCCAGCATGCACTGCATATAGAGAAAACTCTTCTTTTTTTTTAAATATAATTTCATTCAAGTCCTAAAGCAGAACAGTGTTCATTCAAAGAGAAGCTTTCTCAGTGYTTTATAGAAAATGTGACAATTAGGTGCTGTGACCCATTATTACAGACTATGTCTKAAGTACCGCCTTTGGATGTGTGCATGGAAGAAAACCATTCATCATGGGAGCAGTCACCAGCCTGAAGAATATCGTAGCCTGATGGCAGGGGTGAGCACTTTCAGACAAAGGAGAAACAATGATCAAGCAGAACCTCGTACCCTGAATGCAAACATCAGCACTCAAAGGCTGCTACTCCCTTTATGCCACCTACTGTGAGTACATTTTCAGTTTAAAGCAAAATCTTTGACTTMAATACCAGTGGGGTGATTCTCCACCTAATGCTTACTCTTCTACAAAACCAGCTCCTAACATTTCTGCATCTCCAGAAGAACATCAGAGACTGACTGCATTGACTGTTAACACAGCTGAGAACTCATACTGCTGAAGTACTCACTTCATGAGAAGTGAAAAACGCCAACAACTCAAACCAAAACCCACCCAAAGGAAGACAGATATAAACAAGGATGCAAATAATACAGTAAGGACTCATTCAACTCGTAGATTTGCTTGCTTTACACTTTCTGGACTTCATGCTTTGCTAACACATCACTGGGCAAATGGTTGTTGTTTCAAACACTCCCTATTGCCTACCAAGGTTAAATGAAAAAGCAAAATGAAAAGCAAAATGAAATTAGTGTAAGGGACTAATACAATGCATTTTCACAGCTAATTTTTTTCTTTAACTTCCAGGCAGTCTTCAGAAGACATTTAAGAAATGTTTATCTCCTTCTGAATGACCACACCCCAGCATCTASCCTCCTGAAAGGCTRTCCCTTTGGCTCCCTTGCRAAAACCAAARMTGGTGAAAAAAGAGGGACATCTGAYTTGTGGCTAATGTTAATGTCACCCATGGGAAAGCACGATCAGAACAGATACAGAACTACATTCAGGGGACTGGATAGTCTGTTGAAGTTATCACAGTTATACCATCCTCCCAATGTGTTTATCCACTCCTGACCTACCTATTATGACAAACTGTTTCAGTCGTAACAACCCAGTATGGAAAATACACAGAAATGTAAGGGACCATGCAGAAAAGTCCACGTCCAAAAAGATAAGTTCTGTCAAGCATAACCCCAAGGATGGGAAACGAAAGCATGAGAGGCACCTCAAATGGAACATGGAGTCCCTTCAAGGTTTTTGGACAGAACAAGAGCCAAAGGAGCTGTAGTTAGCAAATACAGGTAATAGCAAAACTCTCAAACAGATGCATATACTTATATTAGCTCATTTACTCCTACAATCGATCCAATTTGGAGTTGTGCATCCACTGCAGGTGATGAAGAAGCTCCTCAAGAGCCTCTCTGGTGTTAGTGACATCTGGGTGGATATACCACTGGAGGCAGCACACAGAAATGCCCTTCTGATCCCACCTCAAGCAAACATGCTGGAGCCCTGCAAACAAGGGAGGAGGTGGGAGGGTGCCTGTCTAGGGGCCATACTCTCTGGGTGTAATCTARTGCTTTTCCTGTTTTCCTGTCTAATCCTTGTTTCTCCTTGACACCCTTTTGAATTAACAACAACCATTGACTGTCATAGGCCACGTTTGGTACGCTTGGGTCACCCTTGACTTGCTTTCACTTCAGCACAGAATTTATCATCGAAACTACTCTAGCTGGGATGAACCCAGATCACAGGACAACAGAGATATATCTTAATGTTTTTTAACTTTTTTTATCCTGGCCAGCTGTTAAATACCTATTCTGTGATTCAGGAATATTTTGAGAGAAAAAAAGGAACAGAATTAATTATTTTTCTTAAAATTATCAAATTAGAATCAATTACTTTGCTTAAAATGATCTAACTATTCTAAGCAGCGCTTAATATACAGTTTGTAGCACGTCCCATTATGGACACAGGTTGGGTGCTCTTCCATCCAGTGTATTTTCCATCAGTTTCAGTTACAGCACAGTTGGGAAATGCACATGAAAACCTTTTGTTCCTTTTCTACAAATTTCAGTGCAGCATTTGCTGGCAGAACAACTGACATATGGTGAGACATTCTTATCCAAATAACTGTTAATTGCTTTAAAAAAAAAAAAAAACAAATTAAAAACATGCATATGCAGTGAAAAATGTAATGGGGGTTCACAAAAGCCACTGTGTGAAGCTGTTAAAAATGGGAGCTGTATTTAAAGATGCCTCGAATGCATAGTCTTTCCAGTGTTGAGGAAATGTCTGTTGCCTACCTGTACCCAAAGGTCACACTTACYGCTCTGGTTTTGAGATGTGCAGAGCTAACTAGAAAAAGCAGGATGGATTTGGGGTGCTGGCTGTTTGAGGCCACATGTGTCATTCACATGTAAGGAAGTGGCACAGCATAGGCTGGTCGTGGGAAAGAAGAAAAAGATGCTAGAAAAGGGGTGGGCCTGGAAACAGGCTACTGATGGTATGATCAGGATGAAAAGAGACCCAACATAAGAGAGTGACTCACATTTCAGAAGAAACTGTTGTAAATGAAGGGTTAAATCTAAAACATTAGACCTGGGAAGTTATGATTCTTTCCAACAGGCTTACAGAAAGAAATGGAATGAAGAACAAAGAGAAGTTAAAGCAAAGACTCATTCCCCCAAAGCTCCCCCCCTCCCAACCCGCTGATCATCTTTGTGTGCTCTTTTCGGCCAAGAATGATGCTGTAGGATGTCAGCGCCTGCCTGTAGGGTTTCCTTGGGTCTCTCCTCTCCTGAATCCTTCCTTCAGCACAGCAGTGGAAAGAAAAGGGGGAAAAAAAAGTAACACTTTTAAATATCTGCACAGAACACAGKTCTCATGTTTCTAACAACAGATGCTTACGGTTTCTTTTTTTTTGTCCAATGTGTATGTGTCACACAGCTTATTTATTTATTTAACAGCTAATATTGGGTGARCAAATTACCTGTGCTTATCCATTCTCCCTAGGGATCACTCCTAGTAATTAAAACAGTAGCAATGGAGTCRGGATGACTTTGAAACAGAGCTGCAATGAGTTTGATGCCTGCTTCTAATCTTATGCATGCCACTGAATTATATCTGGGCAAGATACTGTGTGCCCAGGATTTGGCCCCTTTGCATCAAAAAGGGGCCTGCAAAGCCACATCTTGCAGTGGAACWGAAGACATTTATTAATTGGTTGCTAATTCATGAGCAAAAAATACTCCAGCTTAAAACATTCACAGATAATAATTTCTACGGGAAAATTCAGCATGAGACAAGACTACTTAAGGGCAACATAAAACCTGTAATATTCAAATACCTTTTTTAAACAGAGGAAGGGTATTAACATATTGATGTACTTTTAAGTGTGAGGATTTCATTATTTCCTCTTCTTTCAATTGAGTAAGAAGCTAAGGGAGGGGGAGTAAGACTTATGGATGTTGCATTTTAATTAATATTTTGATTGTATAAATAGTATTTTTACTTCAGTACTTTTTAAATGGGACACTGTGAGGCCTATTTCTCACTCTAGCAGTATAGTGGCACATTGCCTGTATGCTGATAAGGACCAAGAGTCGTGTTCATTAATAAGACCTTGTGTTTTAAATTTCTGAGTTATAGCTGCCACTGTTGTAYGGCTTGCTCTTGTGCTACATTAAACCTCATTACCAGTGTAAATATAACATGTTGCTGTTGATGATATTGGTATTTCTCAGAAGTCCTATGCCAAGGGAAGCAGTGTGCACTGAAAACTACTTCTGAGGGAAATGGCTACTGCTTCTTTCGTTAGGTATGAGCCTTGCATTTCTGTCTTCCCACTACATTCTTCATTTAGTCTAGAGGAAAAGCTCTTTRTGCCTATGAAAAACACTGCCTCAACAACCACCACTGCTCTTTCCACAGTACTATCATGTGGTGTGTAAAGCCAAAAAAAAGCTCCAAAAGTCAGCAGAGCTCCAGAAGGCAATTCTCTGACTTTGCCTTGTTTTTCTGTGGTACTGCTGCAAGAGACATTGGGTATTGGAGAGCCAAGGGCAACAAACCCCTCATGATGTAAGCCTTTTGTTCCCAGAACATGGCTCATACAGAACTGAGCTTGATTTCAAGCAATATAAGCTTCCTGCCATTTTCCAAAGCAATGCCAAATATTGTTTGCTCAGTTATTCTGCTCCTTCTCTTGTGCTGTTTTACCTTCTGATGATCTAAGACCCTGCACTAGGTAAACATATTACAGATGCAGATTTCTGCTATAACATTTGCTTGAGAAATCAAGTCTTTTTTTTTTAATGATGTAATATAGGCCATATTAGACAATTACTTTTCCTTTGTATTCTGTCTTCCTCTATTTTATTTTTTATRTTTGGTAAATTTTAACTTTCATTCAGAAATTTTTAAAGCAATTTTTMATACAGAAATCATATGGAAAATAGGGGAGAAAAAGTAGTTTCAAAGTCTTACCTGTTACTTAAGCTTCCCGCTGTGTTTCCATTGGATCACTTATACTTTCAACTTGACTATTCATTTCAGCTGAAAGAGAAACAAGATGGTCATTAGACTATATTAATAATATTTGTTAAGTTTATAATGTGGAGTAATAACTGCTTCTAAACCAAAAAGGAAAATTAAATGCAAAAAAATGCAAATTTATTGCATTAAGAAATCTCTTAAGTCATCAAATAAGACTCTCAGTGGGACCCATCCTGACCTGGAATTCCACGGACACCATGACAAACAGTGGTGCAAGGGTGCAGGCTTTAGCATCACTAGAAATGAAAACTGGCTGCACATATTCTCTGTGGTCCCATTCCATCTAGTYTGACTTTGGCACCCAACCAAGGAGTCCAGCTCAAGGTCAAAATGACCTTCATCTTTCTCCATAGGCCACAGGCAGAGATACAGGTGAGTGTATCTCCCAAATAGTGATCTAGAATCTCACTGGACTAAGTGATCTTGACCCTCAGACTCAAATCTTGATCCTCTCATGCAAACACTGGCTTCTGACAAAGGACCTTCCATTTACAAAGTCAACCTTATTTTAATTTAGAATTAATATTAAAAAAAGGAAAAAAATAAATGGAAGGCTTAAACTCCATGACATATGTCAAAACTATCATCTAAACTATGGCAGGTATGACTGAGTGAGGCTAAAGATAAATAGCTGCAGTTTTAAGACTAGTATCTAGTATTTGTTCTGCACTGAATTTGAATGAAGCCATTTATATTCAAACCTTTTTTTTTCTTTCTTTCAACCAGGCCTTGTGTCGTGGTATCAYCTGCAGGTAATGAGTCATTTGACATGGCTGACAGGGAAAAACCTCAARCATGAGTAGGAGATTTGGAAATTGAGATAAGGTGGGAAAGGGAAGGGGGGAAAAAAAAMCCCCTTCAAAATCAATAATGATGTTACTTCTAGCCACTAAGTTCTCTTTTCTGAATCAATATCATGTCAATGTACCTGTTAGGGTTTTGATGAATTATTTGTAAATTATTCATCATCCAGATGCACAGCAGGTACTGTAACAGCTTCCTGGATGTATGTGATGAATAATAAAAAAAAAGTATCCTCTGCTGATTACAGTGCTCTGATGTGCATCACATTTWGCAAGGTTGTGTTCTTTAGCCATATTTGCACAGCAAAGACAGGATGCTTAACAAAAAAAAATCACCAAAGGAAGGCTACTGCACACTGACAACAGCACCCTTTCCCAGCCTCATTATGCTGGACAGCTTCACTGGCAGTATTTGTTGAAAATACTGTCAGCCTTCACTCATGTTCTACAGAGAGTTCCTGCAAAACAAATCTGGACTTGAAACGTGTCCAGATGAGCCTTTTCCTACGTATTTGTGACTGAGCCTGAGTGTTTGCATGAGCCCTAGTAGGGACAGGAAGGTCTGACTGAAGGATTGGCTTCTGCAGAGCACTGAGTGACCCCCAACGTGTGTTGCAGTAAGGTGACCCTCACAATTCCCTCTTTAGCTGGAAAAGGGGCACAGCAGTGCAGCACATAGCACAGGAACACACGGAAAAGCTGCCACCAGGTATGGTGGGGATGTGACTCACAGCCCTCAATGCATCCCAGCTCGAGGTGGTGTCAGAACAGCATCACTAGCCCAGGGTATTCTCTATCCAATCACATCTCTGAAATGGGACTTCTCTTCAGTAAACAAGGTTTTCAGAAGTATTAAACTGCTAATTCATTTTAGCAGTCTTGTGGCTTCTCCTCATAATATGCTACATCAGCCAACCACGCAGAGAAGCACCTGAAGTGCAAAGAGGTGCACATCTCCTATGGATATTCTCTGTCTGATTTCTCTTAAATTTTGGCCTGCTAGGAGCCAAAATGATCAGCTCTCAAACTATGACCAGGCAGGGATTTCCCACCCAAAAGCATGAAAGTTCCCTGCAAGAGGAGAARAAATAACCCAGCAAATAACTCCCATCCATCAGGGCGCTGTGGTTGCTGCTGACCTGAGGGATGTGCTTTGGCAGTGCAGCATTACTCCTCATCCCTGCAAGACAGCTATGTGCTTAAAGGTCAGCTAGCCAGGAATGACAGCACAGCATCTAAGTGGAGTAGACAGGCAAATGGAGACTGGAGAGCCAAGTTAAAATTGTCTGTGAGAGAGCGAGTGCATTTCCTTAGCCTAGGATATTATGCTGTTGACCTGGATGGCAGATGACACCAAAATACCAGTGTTTTGATTTAAATCAGGATGCAGCTTTCCATAAGCTTGAAATAAAAAAAAGGTGATTGAGCAACCCCATTATGAAAAGATTGATCTGGCTAATACCAGCGTGAAAGGAAAAACTGCTTTAGTAATCTCTATAGCTTTGATGGTATAAAGGACAGAAAGAAAAAAAAAAAGAAGAAAACGTAAGGAAAGAAAAAAAAAAAGAAGGCTGCTGTCAGGGAAATGCCATCTAAGAACCCAATCGCCAAAGTTGGGTTTTCCATCATTAAAAAAAAAAGGAATCAGCACATCTGCCCTGGTATGAGGACCCAAATCTGGGTACAAGCAATTTAATATCCWGGGGTCTTTGCTCTGGTGGCTGATGGAAACTGGCAGGACAAATAYGTGTCTGTGTACATGGCCCCATCCAGGCTACAGATGCACAGTTTTCCTAAATGAAGAATCAAGTCTAGGTTTCAAATAACAGCAATTTCTCAAATATATCACTCTCATGGACCTGCCCACTGGATGAACCAATAWCAGAGATTCACCTAAGCTGTCTAAACTCTGCATCTCTAATGCACTTTTTGCTGTGCATTGTACATGAAATTAAACCACAAGAACTGGGCTGTCAAGGGGGACGGAGTGATATATGCTTGTGCTTTCAGCTGTGAAATGATGAGATCTCCTGRGGCAGAAAAAAGGGGACCAGAGAAAAAAAAAGGCAATTTACATAAAAATTACTCTCAAAGGGAATGAGTTTGATCCTTCCTCTCTTTTCATTTAAACATGCAGTATATGTCCACAAGGAAAACCACCTTGTAATATAATCCTAATAGCAACTTAAGCTGTCTAAAAACAAAGACTTCCCTGACAAGTGAAGTACTTTTCTGCAGCCTAAGCAAACATCTTTTTCTTGTCCTTTCATATAATTTAGAAAGTTCAAAGAAAAGGAAGGTACAAGATGAGTCATATGTAGAAGACCTGACAAGACTTGAAACAGAGACCTATCAAGATCCTCATTTCATAAATAGCTAGCTGATCCTGGTGTCCTGTCCTATGGCACACAGCTATGCAATCATTTTACTTTAAAACAGCTATGCAATCACTTTTCTTTCCAGCCAGAAATCCCTTRAGATATTCCTTTGGTAAATTTGTATTCATTTTCATTAAGTAGCCCAAACTATTTGATGGATTCACAATTCAAATRTTTTAATATGCCATGACTTTTGGTTGGTTGTTTAAAGGATGAATTGAGAAGGCTGCTTTGGCTTTATTCTGCACTTCTACTAGTAAGAGCATAATCTCCAGTATTTTTTCAAAAASAAAATTTATTATGCACTCTTGCTTTTCCTGTGCTTGCAAACTCCTTTACAGGCCAGTATCTAATCAGTCACTGATTCAAATGCTGCATCACAATCTGACATCAGCGAAAGGAAATCAGCATCAGATTCTTTGTGTAACTAGTAGCAAAAAAATATAATGTTTGTCTTCGAGATGTAAAAAAGTGTGCTTTTTTTTTATATTATGTCAATGTTGAGGAGGTTAAAGAAAGAGTTAAAAAATAGCCTTTACTACAGAGATGACATGGGTATAAAATGAGGATTGGACCCCCCATCTCAAAGTCACAGCTCTTTGGGGCAGTAAAAAAGCCCCTTTGTGYAAAAYCCAACAAACSCCTGTAYRTAACACWACCAGAGYTGACCAGGATGAGTGATTAAARGTTTGCCTCACCAAAACCCAAGCASCAGAATGCTGATTCCACCCTTCCCATTTTCTTTACACACAGGATGAATCAAGAAAGCAAATTATTTTTTGTTTACAAGGATGTCACTGCAGATTTTGAGTAGCATCCCAGTACTCAGCCTTTGTTGGAATTTGCCACACAGGTGGGTCATTGGCTCACTGAGGTCAATGTTGGAGGAGCATCATTTCCAAGTCAGAAAATTTGGAATCAATATGTCTACAAACCTGACTGGATCTGCTGTTGGGTCAACTAAATTGTGGTTATTTTATTAACAGTAAAAGTCCTAGGGAGAGAAGGTCCATCTGTTKCCAGACAGAGTTATACATGGATACTGAAGGAGGAGGAAAGGGAATCGGAGCTGACCTGGAATGAGGCTAACATACAAATTCAGAGTGGGTATACTGCCAAACACTTTCCCCTCAATGGAGTTGGGCACTAGCACAGAAATTTTCAGAAATATCTCCTGACTGCTGTGTTAGACCCCCAAACTCTTGGCCAATTCGATATGAAGACCAAAATTTCAATGAGTCTAGAACATTACTCAGTTAAAAGGCAGGCAGCATAGAACATACCAACTGAACACATTAAGCCAATCAACTCAAAAAGCAGGGCTTTCAAGTGACTTTACTTGGACCAGACTCACAAGACAGTAGAGATGGTGACCATCTAGCTGCACTCCCCTGCCATGGGCATGCACAACTTCCACCAGACCATGTTGTTCCAAGCCTCCAGGAGCCTGGCTTTGAACACTTCTAGGAATGGGGCATCCACAGCTCTCTGGGCAACMTGTTCCACTGCCTCACTATCCTYATAGTGAACAATTTCTTACTAATATCCAAYCTAATCATGCCCTTTGTCAGTTTAAAACCATMACTCTGAAAAATGAATCAAWAATGATAGAACAACATACCATCCTTACTCGAAACGTCTGCTGCTTGACTTGCAGAGTCMATTTTCATAGGCTCCACAAAAATTTCCTCTTGCCCTTGTATCCCTATGATACAAGCCAAACAAGGAGAGAAATCAATACTCACAGTACCTGATTAATGTCTAATTCTCAGAATCCTCATGCCTGGCTTTTTTTTTTGTTTTCCTTCTGGTATGTTCTCACCTTTGTAGATTCCACTGCTGTACAGTGGCACCCACTAGAGAAGGGGACAGAGGATACAGAGGGAGGAACATGGTTTGAAAATAATTGTCTGAATATTTTTAGCAAATCTGCTCTTTTTTTAACTGGGATTGTTAAAACCACATCATGGTGCGTGTTTCTGCCTCCCCACATTTCTTTTCTCATCATTTTTAAAGAATTCATTCTGTTCATAAAACGATGGGAACTTACAGTTATAGACTTTCTCTAGTTACCAGAAAGAAAATAAATACAATGCAAGTTTAAATACACCAGGTATTCAGACACAAACTAGAATATGAATGTAGGAAAATGCATTTTATCACTGTAACTAAACATTTTTATCTCTTCTGCCTCAGCCTTGTCTGGAAGCTTAGACACAAGTAAAACGCCTGAAAACATCTGTGACTGAGAATGCTGTATATCTGCAGTGCCTTGAATGATCCTTTTGTGGGTGCATCAAACTCCAGATGCTTCTCCAGGGAATCCAGGAGAGTGAGGGTGTTATCTCCTGAGTTTTTTTTTATGCACCAACATCCCCAAGTTTTCCCAGTGCTCAATCACTTGCCTTTTTGGCTCATGCAAAGGATAAATCCAACTGACCCCATGCAAATCATGTGTATATATGGCAGGAATTTGTCAAGACTGAACAGGTGTTTCAAAATCCCTGCCTGATTTCTCCAGGCAAAATCAATGTGAAAATTGAGGGACCATGAAAGCACTGATTAATCAAGGAAGATACACAGTCATCCCGATTGTGATACATTTTGATTATCTGAGGGAAGCAGCTCTATAAAAAATAACATTTTGAAAAATCACASAACARTCACATGGGCTGGGACAAACCTTCAAAACCATTCAGTTCCAATCCACCTGCCATGGGCAGGGACACCTTCCACTAGATCAKGTTGTTCCAAGCCTCATCCARCCTGMCCTTGAACACTTYSAGGGATGGGGCAATGACAGCTTCACAAGGCAAGATYTTCCAGGGCCTCACCACATTCAGARTAAAGAATTTCCTYCTTATGTCCACTCTTAAACCTACTCTYTCASGTTAAAGCCAKTCCYCCTTGTYCTAYTGACTATCTCTCCATGAGTGCAGYCTGCAGTGGATGCAGCTCTTCCYACCAAGACACCCTGATRTCTGATGTAGGTATTTGGTGTCTGCTAAACACCAACCTGCTCCAACTGGCAGCTGCTGCCACTGAATCTGTGACTCCTCTAAACCACCATCTATTGGCCAAATAAAGATTATGATATGATACGATGATATGATATGATATATGATGATATGGCTCCCAGTTTCTCCTGTTGCCAGCGCCTGAAGATGACCACATGAAGTTCCAAGTCYTTATTGCAAGATTTTTAACCAACTGGCATGCCTGGCTTCATCATGCTGCTGAAAGGTTTCTGGCTTTCCATTTCAGCAATCTCTCATGCAGCTGACAGGCGCAAAGGTTTATTGGCACAGCGCGAGGTGATGAGGAAGGCTGATTAAAGAGAAGGCATTTTGTGGGCACGTGTGTGTGTAAATATCTGCACATGGGCTTTGTCCCAGTTCTTTCCCATTTGCAGTGGTGAAATGAGACATGGGGAGGAGGGAGGCAAGTCTAGAAAGAGGCAAGGAAGAGTAACAACAGCATCAACAGATCTGCAAAATCACTTTTTTTCAGAGGTTTAGGATCATAAATACTGTCAGAAGAGTTGCTTTTGTTCTGCTTTTCCACCTTCTTTCCACATTTGAAACATTGATTCCCTGTCCCTTCTAGGTGGGGATTGTTGCAGTATCAGTGTTTTTTTATGCTTATTGTTGGAGACTGTCAGCGAGAAAATGATAGTAGGAAAAAATGTTCAGGGGCAAACTAGGCAGAAGATAAACTTTTATGAAGCTGAGCACTGCTGCAAATCTTGGGAGGAGGCTCATGCAATATACCAACCCATTTTTTGGGAGGATTAACAAATTCAGTTAATATAAATTTAATTTCTTCCTTCACTATTACTGAGGAATGGACACAGGGACATTCCACAATACTGCCATGCATGTGGAAAGGGTATTATCAAAAAAAACTCCCCTGCTGTGCAGTCAAGTGCCACTCTGAGATCAGCCCAATTCACATAACCAGCAAAAATTGATCAATACCAGAAACTGCCTTGACAGCCAATTTATTCAGGAGGCCTCTCCCTTGATTTGATTGTTTCAGGTTAGAGCACAAGCAAGCGAAGGATTTCAGCTCTCCACGCAGCAAATGAGAGTTCCTGAAGGGAAGGGAGCCCAGGAGATACCACTTTCAATATAAATTTCCATTTCCAATTGCACTCCTGCCAGAGCTCATTACCTGAACCCTTTCCTGACTCGTTACACAACCAGCCCAGAACTAAAAAACAACTGCTGGCATGTGCAGCCAGGGCTCCCAGCCTTTTTAAATGCATAAGACAAGTATACACCAGGAAGACAGAAATCTCTGCACTCTTATTTCATCTTTTCCTTTTTCCCCTTAATAGCCACAATCTGTTACTTTTTCCAAGTGCTTACAGTAAGTAATACATCATTTTCTCTAGAGAAATATGATTTTTTCCCCTCTAGATTCACGTACTGTTTACAAGACAAACATGAAGTTGTGGTAGCTCTTGGTACCTCAGCATCAATTTTAAAATTCCCCAAACACAGAGGTTAGACATCTGTTTTCCAAACCCCTGATAAATTCTAACAAGGAAAAAGTGTTACTTTTTTGAGGAGTGTCTTCCTCATCATTTTCCTTCTCCCTTTGCACAAGGTTTACATCTATTTCAAGAAAAAAAAAAAAAAAAAAATAAACCAGACAACAATGCAGGC